ATACATAACGCTTATAAATCTTCATATGAGTAAACATAAACAAAACATCACATGAACTATTATTTTGTTCTGATAGGTTATAAATATGTACCTCCGTAAAATAAAATGAGATGCATCTTCAGTACAATAAACTTGTAAAATGACTATTGTAACAGTCCAATTTTCAATAATTAATTATTTGTGTTAATTAATTGGTTTATTTGGATTATTCTAATTATTTGAATAATTAGATGATTGTTTAAATGCATTGATAGATGTTTTGAGAGAGGGAATAAATTGGAGAGAAACCGAAGGGAAGGATATATGAAGGGGGAGCGGAACGAAAATGTAAAATAGAAAACATGAAAGAAAAGTGGAGGAAGAAGAGAAAGTAGAAGGAAAAAGAAGGAAAAGCTTGGAAAGCTCAAGAACGACTTCTAGCTTCTGATTAATTGAGGTAAGGGTGTGAAATCTTACTATCTTAATCAATGTGTATGATTATGTATGTGTGTGTTTGGATTTTTTGGGTGTTTCCTACATTTTCCATTTTAGGTCGAAATGAGTTTAATTGGTAGAAACCGAGTTTGAACGGGTAGAATCTGAAATTGACGGTGTAATATAGTCGGGTGATGAGTGGGTCGTGCTATTGGAACTGATTTGGATTAAATCGGTCGGTTTGTGAGGTTTGGGCTTTTGGACAGCCATGGGAGTTCTGAGTTTGCAGGTTCGCCAGGCGGATGGCAGCGAAGCTTCGCCGGGCGAAGCCCAGCGAGCAGCAGCGAACCAAGTCAGAAGCATCCACCCTGTCTTTGCTGGCAAGTTTGCCAGGCGAATGAGAGTGGCGAAGGTTCGCCAGGTGAGTGCTAGCGAGTAATTCCAGAATAACTCTCAGTGGTCTTCGCCGGCAAGTTCGCCAGGCGAACGAAGTAGCGAAGGTTCGCCAGAGGCTTCGCCAGGAGAAGGTTAGCGAGTGTGACAACATTTGTTTTATTTTGGTTGGTTCCATCCAATGTTGATGTATTTGATATAATTATGTAGCGTATAGCTTGTGCGCTGTTATATGATGTGTTGTGGGTAGCCGTATGGCGTGAATCCTAGATTATGAATCGATCATGAATATGTGGTCTTTTGGCATATGTGATACATTGTTTAAATTGATTAAAATGCATGATGAATGTGATCGAGTTTGTTGCCGTTTGGCACGATATTTGTAAGTGTATATTGCTTGTATGCGATGGTGGGTGAAGAATGCATGAGAATATATATGACGAGTACATGTGCATTGTTTGGTAATATAAGAATGGTGTGGGAAATGTGTATATGTGTTGAGTCGTACTCACTGGGGTAGAATGGCAAGATGTCGTTCCTAGTGGAGTAACCACTAGGGTAGAATAACAGGATGTTATTCCTAGTGAGGTATAGTGTCGTGGTTGTATACACCGGGGTAGAATGATTAAGATGTTGTTCCTGGTGGAATAATTACCGGGGTAGAATAACTGAGGTGTTGTTCCTGGTAGAGTATAAGTGATGTACCCATACTCCCAAAAAGGGATTGGTGTTAATTGATGAGTTTTATATGAGCCATATGGCATAAATATTATTGTTGTATGAAGGATGCCGATGTGTATGAATTGTTGAATTGTGAGTTATAAATGTGAATCTAGAATGAAGCGATATGAGATGAATGATGAACATATGTATATATGCATTGTGATATATATATCTATTGTGAATGCATATTGAATATACGTGCTGGTATGTGATGTATGATGATTGTAAATGTGAACCTTGTTTGAATAGTGTGAATGAAATGATGAATATATGTATATATTGCGATATGTATATATTGTGAGTGCATAATGAATATATGTGATGAATGTGACGAATGCATGAGTATGTTTGTAAACATGTGTGCATTTCAAGAGTGTCATGAGTCATGTTGCATGTGAAGCATCATGGTATGCATTCTTGTGTTGATTGATTCCTCGGTGAATCTGCAGAACCTCGTGTGCCCTTGTGGGGTGTGAGCGATGGTTATTTACTGATCCCTCGGTGGATTTGCAGAACCTCGTATGTTGCAATGGTTATATTTGATTCCGCGTAGAATTTGCAGAACCTTGTGTGCCCTTGTGGGGTGTGAGCGATGGTTATTTTTGGTTCTTCAATTGAACCTGCTGAAATGAGTCGGTACCGCATTTGCATCTGCATAGGGTCGTGTGTCGGTCTCTATGAGTTGCATGTTATCATCTTTATATGATGTATGGTGAAATAAACATGAATGTAGATGTTTATGTAAATTAGTGATGGAATAAACATGTTGTGTGTGTTTATTGAGTTAATGTGAATGTTTATGTGAATTGGTGATGAAATGAACATATTTTGTATGTTACATGGATTTGATTGGGATTATGGATGTACACATGATAAATATGCTTGATGGTTATCCATATTTGTTTATATGCAAATAAGCGATGTATATGGGTGAATCGTGAATGTATGCATGATAAGATGCTTGGTTATATATATATATATATATATATATATATATATATATATATATATATATATATATATATATATATATATATATATATATATATATATATATATATATATATATATATATATATATATATATATACATTGTAATGTATGTTAGTGAGCGGTGATGTATGGTGGTAAGAAGTATAATATGGATATTCTATGTTATAGAAATATATTACATGCTTTGTTATTGTGTTAATATGCATTGTGGTGAGAAAAGGTGGAATATATATATTCTATACTTGTGCATTTATATATATATGATTATGTGCATTGATTATTATGGTAATGTTTCTCACCCTTCTACTGGAATGATGTCCTTTATGACATCGTGCAGGTATCTTGGAGTTGTACTGCTAGTAGTTGCGAGGTCTCGGCTGGTGCAGTCGTTTAATATTTTAATTATGTTGGGTCGAGTCATGCTCTGGTTATGTAACACTGGGATCGTTGAGTTTATGCCTTATAGATATATTATGTATTCTAAGTTGTGTTTTAAATGTATTTGAAATATGTGATAATGGCCTCTGTGCTTAAGTGTTGATGATTACGTGAGGAACATGAATATTCTGTGAAAGGATTTATGTAAATAAATTGAATCCGCTGCTACATGAAAGATGAAAATTTAATAGCATGACTATCTATTTCAATGTTACATGAGTATGACAGGTGAATGTTGAGATTTGTAAATTGTGTGACGCCCTTTTGTGGAAACATGTTAATTTACTCTGATTAATTATGTATTTTTATTTGGGGTAAGAAGGGTGTTACAACTATAATAATTAATGTATGATGTGTGACTTTTAAAATATTATGGAGATGCATCTCCAAATCATTTAACTTTTTAAGATATGTCCAAAAATAAATCTCCATAATCTAAAAATATTTAAGTATTTTTATTTGGTACCTAAGTAATATATACACTGAATTATTAATTTTCTTCCATAATCTTTATGTTGATAGAACTACCATTCTTGGTTTTCAAATGTATGGGGTACAATTGTGGAACTCTATCCATTCTAGTATATCACATAAGTGTTCATTAGGAATATAGAGTTTAGATTTTGTTAGTCATGAGATGGATTGATTTTAATGTTACACACTGTACTCTTTTTTTAACCTTGGTTTCATTCAACTAATTTCTTCTAATAAGATTTTTAACGAAATAATTATTGTATAATCTTTTGATTGTTAACTTTAATATTAGATTAATAAGATTTTTAACAAAAAAAAAAGTTATTGTATTATAATGGGGAATATTGTTTTTAGTTTAGAAAAGATAGATTTTTTCTTTTTATTTTTGAAAATAAATTCTATAAAAATATATTTTAAAATATTATAAGTTTTTTTTTTAATTTAATTTTTATAAATTAAAAGATTGATTTTGACCTATTATAACATAAATATACATTATTGAAGATTAAAACAATGTCAAAATCACAGTTTTCTTAAAAGACTTATATCTACTTATATCTGAAAAATAATTTTTATAAAAAACTATTTGAATAGCTTCAAAAATAAATGAATTTTTAAAATTTTAATATCCAAAAAATATTTCCGTAAAATAATAAAACATCTAAAACAACATTTTAAGAAAATCTATTTAAATCAAATTTTCATTTGAAACCTTTATAAAAAATTTCTTTTGTAAAAATTTTTGTACACTAAAATATATTACACATAAAAATCATTTAAAAAAAAAAGAGTCAAAGTCTAATATTTGAATATTAATTGATCTAGTTTCCTCAAGTTATCGGTACATCATTTTCTTTTATTTTAATAAATTCATTAGGGTGGTGCAAATGCCAATATTTTTGAAATATCAATGTTGTCATGTGATGCCTTTGCACTTTAGTTGCATTCACTTTTTGAATTTTGTTTATTTTTTAAAAAAGATTTGATAAAATATGATATTCCTTAAAGATAGACGGGAATGATTCTAAGATTAAAGTCATTCTCTAAGAATTCCCTAAGAAACCGCAAGAGCAACTTAAGCTATTTTTTATATAAGGAATGTGAGTAACAAATGTTAGTAGCAGATATTTGAGCTCTGAACCTCCTAAATAGAAACCAAACCAAACCACTAACCATGTGTAGAAGGTTGATTTCCATAGGTTACAAAATTGTAAATTGTTTGAAATCTTTCAGCTATCATGCAAAGATTGCAAGAATTTACAAAAGGCAGATATAGGGTGATCATCAAACCCGGGTGTTTCTATTGTGTAATCTATAGTTCAAGGTTACCAATAACACATTTATTTGTCGAATTCTTACAATTATTTACTCATTAGTTCAAGATCTCAAGAGAAAAAATCACAATTGCATACATGTCAGAAATGGAACAAATGTCCACCAAAAATAAAAAATTGACGAAGAACCATTAGTCCATACAAATCTTAAAGACCATTTCACTTTTTTCACTTTATTTATCAGTGCGTAATACGATAGAATAAGCAGCAGTCATGGATCAAACAGGATTATCAGCGATAAAGGCTTTCAGATCTCAGGTTCTCTGCAATTTCCGTTTCCCATCTATCCCCATTTTCAAGCAACTTCTCTTTGTCATATAGAAGCTCCTTTAACAGTTAAAACATATAATTAGTAATAAACAACTAATCAAAAAACAAAATAAGATAAACAATTTTGGTAAGCACTAAAGATACTCATATAGTTCAATATAAAGGAACAGATAAGGAACCTCGTGAGTCTCTGTAGAAAATTCAAAGTTTGGCCCTTCAACAATGGCATCAACTGGGCATGCCTCTTGACAAAATCCACAATAGATGCACTTGGTCATGTCAATATCATACCTGAAAGATTTGATAAATTTGAGCAAAACTGAGGAATGCGTGGAAGGAGAAAGGAAGAGATTTGATAAATTTGAGCAAAACTGAGAAATGCGTGGAAGGAGAAAGGAAGGCACACAAGGTAGGTAACTCACCGAGTTGTCCTGCGGCTGCCATCTTCACGCTCCTCAGCCTCAATTGTTATTGCTTGTGCAGGACATATCTGATTAAGAAATAATAATGATTCAGAGCTGATTCTACTGAAAGGAGGGTAAGAATTAAAGTAATGTGGAGAAGAGGAGATAAAACATGAAAAGGAAATATTGGTCTTTGTTGTTGTTATTTGTAAGAGTAATTTCAGTGAATTGAGAGTTTGAATATAAAATTGACATCACTTGTATTAATTAGATATCAATATTTCTGCAGATAAATGGGCTCGCAGCCTAAATTTTGAGACTGGATTGTTTTCCAGACACACACCTAGTAGCTTTGTTTATCTCTAGTCCAGTGTTGTCAAATATCAATATCGGAAAATATCGGATCACCAAAAAACCGATATGAGAAATATCGGATCGCGTAGCAGGCAAATATCGGAAGCCAAAAAGCAATTAAAACAGAAATAAAAACTCAAAAACTTAAATTGAAAATTTCAAATCCAATAACTAAATCAGAAAAACTAAAAAAAGAAATTTAAAAGGAATTAAAACTCAAAGTTAAATAGTTCAAACTAATAACCAATAGTTCTTCTAAGTCTAACTAAACGATAAAAGATTTAACTATTCTCCTTTTCCTCTTCCCCAACATAATCATTATTCTCCTTTTCAGATAATGAGGCATATCCTTCGGCTTCTTCAAATTCTACTTCTGAATCTCCGACGACAGGATCTTCCACTTCAATCACTTGTTGCTTTCCCTTCCTAGAGGAAGAACCAGCCGACTTCTTTGTTTTAGATTAAGTTCTTTTCTCTTTTTAGTTATTTGTCTAGTATACCTAGTAGACTCTGAATCTCCGACGACAGGATCTTCCACTTCAATCACTTGTTGCTTTCCCTTCCTAGAGGAAGAACCAGCCGACTTCTTTGTTTTAGATTAAGTTCTTTTCTCTTTTTAGTTATTTGTCTAGTATACCTAGTAGACTCTACAACTCCTGAAGTTCTATAAACAACTCCCCAATTAAAGGCATCCTCGTCATTCTCTTCCTCAAAGACTCTTTCTAGTGTTGTATAATACTTGGCACCGACTCAATAGCGCACATTTTCCTTTTTCAATGTCTCCACTTTTTTAGATTCTACTTTTCCACCTCTTCACCTTACCCTATTTTATGTTTCTACTTTTCCTCCTCTTCGCCTTACCCTCTTTAATGTTTTTAGAAATGATTTATTATAAAAAAGTAATAATAAAAATATGATTTCTGATATTTCATTCATAACCGGTATACCGGAAAATCGCCGATATCGCGAAATTGAAATGTCATACAGGCTTTCGTATTGGATAGCCAAAATTCCGATATGCAATACCGGTATACCGGCGCGATACCAGATATTTAACAACACTGCTCTAGTCCCAACTATTCTTTACACGGGCTCACAGCCTATATTCTGAGACTAAATTGTTATCCAGAGCACACACCTAGTAGCTTTGTTTATCCCTAGTCCCTACTACTCTATACTAGATCTACTTGCTTGTCCTACATGGCTATATCAGAGGAACAATGCATACTCCAATAGTACCAGTTAAAGAGAAAAGATTTCAAAGTTCACACCTAGTACCAGTTATAGAGAAAAGATTTCAAAGTCCACACCTAACAAACTGTAAGCTACATTTGTTAACATCTAAATACAATAAGTATCGGTGCATGCAAAACATTGAAGCAACAGGAAAATATTGTGCCATTTGATAGCATGCATGCTCTCTAATATCATTGTTAAACTGAAAATACTGGATAAACAACTAAATCCTTACCGCTTCACAAAGTTTGCAAGCAATGCAACGTTCCTCTCCTGTTGGATATCGTCTGAGTGCATGTTCACCACGGAAACGTGGACTTAGAGGGCCTTTCTCAAATGGATAATTGATCTGAATTAAAGAGGTCATACACTTAACTATAAGCTGCAACACTCTTGACCAGTAAACAGTTATAAATGACACTTACCGTAACATTTTTATCAAAGAAGTACTTCAGCGTCAGCATTAGACCTCGAACAAGCTCAGTGAGGAAAAGGGTGTTGATGCTTCGTTCAAAAACTGGCATCCAAAGCATCCACAGTGACTTAGTTACATTATATAAAACAGGAAAATCAAATTGAAAATGAAAGGCTCCTAAATAAATACCAGCACTCCAATCCTTTGACATTTCCTTTGAAAGTTTCTCCCTTTCCTCGTCCTCTACGGTTTGTGCAGAAAAAAACAGAAATATACATCAAGGAAGCCTACATAATATAACGCATGCACGAGAAAAGCGAATAGATATCCAGTGATATCTCAATTAACAGTCACAAATGATAAAGCTACTGAAATGTTTGACATCCCTTAACCCAAATAATTAGATGCTTTCTATTGGTGGCTGATTTGGAGAGCTGTGGTGGAGCACATTGTGGTATTTGAAACTAATGCACTTTTCTCTCATTTTCTACTTTGTTTTGTTTGTAAACATTGCACCAGCTTGGAGAATGGAGAAGAAGAGTGTTGCAATTTGCAAATAGTGTAGATTTGTAATTATTAGTATCTTACGTAGCACCGGCACTTCCGAATAAAATGTGTGTCTGCATTAGTGTTCAAAACCGACATTAACACTTGTGATAACGTTTAATTTATTCATTTTTCAAATTATTACCGGTGTCGACATCTAAGTGACGGTATCGTGTTTCCGGCATTTGTGCTCCACAGTTAGTATCCAACCCATTAGAATAGCCTATTCAAAACGTATTGGTGATTGTACTTGATTCATAACTTTAAAATATATTCAGATATAATTTCTACACATCCAAACCTACCCCCATTGTCATAATCTAGGTAGCTCAATGATTTTAAAACAAAACCAAACCAAGAAAGGAACATACATCCTGATTATACATAATTTTGGTGTAGATAAGACAGACCTAATTTGGTAGAGTAGAGGTGTGAACTCAATCGCATTCCATAATTTTGGGGATTGTGAAGCCCTTGACCTGCAACAGCCTAAACAAGCAAGCAGAACAATGAATAAAAATATTAAAATTAAACATTTCATTTCATCACCTTATAAACGAACAAAACCCCATATATATTCAAAATAAGCTCTTAATCTTAAACCTAGAAAATCATCACGAACATCACAATTTACCATCAAATAAAAGAGAACAGAAAAACAAAATAGATAACAATCTTACCATCTGGCGGGTGCGAAGGGCGAGAAGTGATTTCCGAGCTAAGAACGCGGCCATATTTCTGCAAAAATTAACAAAAAGAAATTTCGTTCAGTTTCAATTGAGACGATGTTAGTAATGAACCCTAATGGATCAGATTTGAAATGCATAGTGATAATTTTGTAAATCGAAATGGTTAGAGTTTTCGAATGATTGCAGTAGATACGAAACGGAGATGGGAAGAAAGAAATTGAGAAAAAGTGTTACCAGCAGCGGTGGGATGCGAAAACGAAGCTACTGTTAAGAATGGGAATGGAAATTCGATGAACACCGATTATATGAAAGAAAAAAAAAGAAAAAAAACAACGGGGGTGTGATTTTGTGTTATATAGCAACAACGTGTACAATTGTGGGCCTTACTAACAGTTTTAGCCCACTTTATTCTGTGGTCATCGGTTAGTGGTGATTTTATTTGCCATCCACCGGTTATACCTAACATCCTAAGATTTAACTTGATACCCCCACTTAGATAATATCTAACACTTAGATAATATCGTTTAGGGTAATGCTAACTTGTGTCTTTGTGGCACATGTTAAGAAAATCATTTATAGTAAATTTGTATTAAAAAAAATAATTTAAAAGTTAATTTTATATTTTAATTAAAGTTTGTACACAATTTCCAAAATGATATTTCTTAATTTAATTCTTAACTTGTGCCCCAAGCATTACCCTATGGTATATGCAAAACAATTTCACTCATTTTTAAAATTTACAGTAGCCACACGCGAATTTCACTTGTCTAGGATGATATCAAATTTTTTGATTCTTTTATCAGAAATTTCAAAATCAGTACGTTTTGTTATCGCTAAAGTCTAAATTTTTCACGATTTTGTATCGAAAAATTTTAAAATTTTCGGTACAAAATCACTTGGAAATTTCAGAATTTCTGGTAGTTATAAAAACTTTATTTTTTATCGAAAATTTTGAAATTTCCGGTAATTATAAGGAGACATATTCATTTCATCTTCTGTTTAAAGAGATGACTATCATTCTATATGATGTCTCCTCATTGTTCCATCTCCCCAGCGGTGGCAGATACTGGATGACTCATGTTCTTAGCCCGTCGCTTGCGTGTAATGACTATTGCACAAGATTTCAGAGTTTTTAAGAAGGTCTTCCAGAAGAAGTTTGGCTTCAACTGGGGTGTTCACCTTCGTATGTTATGACTTCGGGATACATACATAAGCTTGTTGCAGATGGGAGTTATAAGGCTGCCGTTAGGGTGTACATGGTACATCTAGTATCATGTACTCTCTTTGCAAACAAGTTAGGTGTTTATATCGACGCCTTGTACGTGTGTCTGTTTAGTAGCCTCGAGGTTACCAACTGGGCTTAAGGGTGTGTTGTGTTGATCATTCTGTATACAACACTTTGAGTGACGATAATATTTGAGATCAGACAACTTGCTGGTTATTTGAGTCTGTTACAGGTATACTTGAAATTATTATTTGTTGTTTATTTCTTATTAAATTGTTACGAATAACATTTATTATCTATTATTTGTCGTGTCTGTGTTTTGATATTAGTGATAGATATACGAGCATTTCCCCACCATTTGTGACAGGAGAGTGCAACATTCCTTATTAGGGTCCCCACAGGCGAGGTGATGGAGAGTCAGGTAATCACATTTCAGTGGTGTTGCTGAGTACAAGAGGAGACTCGATGCGCTGATTGTAAATGATGTCATATTGACACCATACATTGATCACAGAGTCCACCAAGAGTTCGATGAGTCTTTATTTTATTCAAGTTATACGTGGTGAGAGATCATGGTTGCTAGGCACTTGCCTAAGAGATGTCTGCGACAATATACTTATGTTCAGAGATCCCATGATCAGTTCCAGATATACCATCTGCATGCATCGATTAGTGGTTTCAGAGTAACTTCATAAGCTTTGGTCGTGCCATTAGAGACCAAGCAGTTACGGTTCAACACCCCTCGCATTGTGGGGATGGTTACTTAGAGTGGTATCTCAATGTATCACATCATTGCATCATCCTACATGTTGAGGATACATGTGATGATGGACCTTTTGATGATGAGTACTTGTCGATTACATGTCACTTCCGCCTCCTACAACTGATTCTGATGACCAGCAGCACCTCTAGATGATTGCAGCTATTATGGATAATCTCATTGATTTGGTAAACTCATATGGCGATGTTTATACTGGATCATCTCGGGCTACACACATAGACGGTAGGGGCCTTATTTAGATATTTTTTTTTATATTATGTATTATTTGTGTTATTTGTATATTACTTAGACATCTTCATCATAAATTTCTATTAGATAATATTTTTAATCTCCCAATGATGCAACATCAACGTAAACTAACATTTGACAATGAATTACATAACTTATAAAAACGATAATAAATAAAAAAACTTAGACACTACAAAATTATTCTGGATGTTTCATCATCTTAATTATGTCATCGGCGTACCTTGAAATCTTAGCATCTAACTTGATCGATCCCTTTGTTAACATACAACGAAATGATCTTCAGATATCCTTCACACCTTCACCGGTCTTCAACTCAATAAGGTTGCATTTCACCCTATCGTCAATATCAATCAAATCTTCACGAAACTCGATCGTTCTCACCTTTCTGATTTTGGTATCAGACAACAATTCATTCAACTTGGACGTCAGGCTAGCGAGAGATATGGTGCCATCCGAAAGCTAAAACTCTACTGAAGGTGAAACTCGGTTGAAATACACTTCTACAATTTTGACATTTTAAAAGTATGAGGGTAACAAGTTAAAATCTCCTAGCATCCCTATTTTTTTATATTGATGAAAAAAAAAATTGACTCTAAAAAACAATAAAATTAAAAACATCTGATAATACATTTAAAAATCTAATAGTTCTTCTCACAAATAGAGAGTAAATTATTGTATTTATATAGTTTTTGAAAAATTCGGTATGAGTTATCATATTTTTAAAAATCAGATATATTTTCACTAAATTTTAAAAAATCCAGTAGTTTATATCATGTAGGCCTATAAAAATACAGCTAATATCGATGACCCACAACATCTTCGAATGATTGCAGTTATTATGGATAATCTCATAAGTTTAATACATCTAGGGGACGAGGTTTATATCAGACTATCTCAATTTAACTTGATTTTGAAAATTGAATTTAAAATAGATATATCAATGTAGTTTTCATAAAATGACATTCAAACATTCAATAATTTTCAATTTTAATTTTAAGTTTTTTTCTTTTCTTTTTGGTGATGAATTTGTAATTTTAATTTGGATATATTTGGATTTAATACCCCAAATCATACCCTTAATTAGTGCTATTAAATTCGTTTTAATTTTTGATTTTTTTTACTATCACACAAGCCATTAGTATTTTTTTATTTTTTATTATTATTATCATGTAAAATAAAATTTTCAAAATTTGTCAAGGATAGTTATTATTATAATTTTTTTGCTGATACAGAGAATTGATTAGTAGTGAATGGTGAAATCTGCCACAAGCATTTCTTCAACAAAAACAACATATAGATCCATTTTGCAACTGAATTTGACCACTACACAATCCAACAAAATACAAAGAGAAGCGATTAGTGTGTGGAGAATGGAATTGGGATTAGGTTTTGATGAAAACGATTACTTATCATGCTGTGGAAGCACCCAATTCGCCAAAGAAATGGCTTCAGCTTCTCCTTTTCCTTCTTACAACCATGCTCTTTCTCTTGCCAGACACATTTGGTTCGACATCGTTGATGTCAATGGGTGGCTACAAGCTTTCTCTGCTCATCCTTCCATTGGTCAAGCTCGTGCTCCTTCTCATGCTTCTCAAACCAGTGCTCAGTTCAGTCATCAATCTCTGACTCTTTCTCTTATTTTTTTACATCTGGGTCTCTTTCTTTTTTGCTTATTGGTGTTAAAATTGTTACTTTAGTGGTAAGGTTGTGTTTTTGTTATGTGGGTGTTTGTCAATTTGTGTATTCGTTTTGAATGTTAGGGTACTGATATTAATTGAAGTGATAAATTTGAATTGGGATTGCAGCTTCTTCATCTTTGGTACTGTTTGTTAGTTTCTTCATTTGGACTTCTGTGTGTGTTGGTTATTGAGTTTGTCTCTTTAGTAATTCTTCTAAGTTTGTGTTTGATTTAGTTTCACGTTTTGACATGTTTGACTGGTTCGATTGGAATTGGTTTTGTATCTTGAAATGATTATAACTTAATGTTATGATTTGTATAGTTTTCGGCTCCAACATGAATTGCTTCACATTCAACTTTCATATTAACTATAATCAATTTTACAAAATCAGTTCATTCAAAATTTGAGGAAGAGAGTGAGAGAGAGAAAGCAAGTACAAAGTGAGAGTATGAGTTAGAATACCTGATCCTCGTGCGGAGGAGAGTATTTATAAGGTGCCCCAACGCTGGGCCAACGGTCATTTGCTTTGGGCTGGGTCGCAAGGCCCACAACAGATACTGCCAGGATCTTACGTGGCAATAGGGAAGACTCGCACGTGGTCTTTGTTCTGGGTCAACTGCTCCACAAACTCCGGGGAGTGGAAGACCTGTTCCCTCGGACGTGGGTAGTTGGCTGATGACGTGTTCCCGCGCGGGGAGCACGTGGAGAACGTGTGATGAGCGTGTCGGATGTGTGGTCTCCAACGGGTATGCAAACTTGGACTTTTGTGTTGGACCGTCCCCGACGTGGAGCTGGGCTGTCTGACGGTGGGCCAGTCCCAGGCCCAATCCAGAACAAGTACTAAAGTTGTGTGTGTTTATTTGTGATCGGTGAAGTGGATTTGGGTAAAAATGTTTTATTTCTTGATCACTAGTTAGCACCATAGCATCATTAACATGTGAAAGAAACTGGTTTTGGCAGGTGGAGTAAGGGAGAACAATCAACTGCTTTAGCAACTGCTACTACTTCTAGTTTACAGGTTTGCTTCCTTGATGCTGCTATTGGAAATGCTACCAATAATTTAGTCGTTTTATTACTACCGTCGAAGAGTGATTTGTTCATCAACAAAATTGGGTTTGGTATCGGGAAACAAACATCCAGTTTTTGTAGGGTCAATGTAAATGATATGCTAACTGATAAAAAATGATTATGATGATAGTTAGTAATCTAGCAGTGTTCTGTTTGACTTTTATAGGAACTAGCTGAATGGAATGCTCGGTATATGCAAAAGTTTGGGTTTGTATTTCTCATATGTGCATCTGGGAGGAGTACTGAATCAATACTTGCTGAATTGAAGGTAATGAGAGTAATGCAATTTCTTTTAGCTTAACATATCAAGAGACAAAACGGGTGCTATTTTTGGATTTGAAATGTTAGAGAGGAAAATGTTAGTATAACACTGTTACATCACACTGCAGAAACGCTATACAAACAGACCAATTGTCGAATTTGAGATTGCAGCTCAGGAGCAAATGAAAATTACAGAACTGCGCTTGTCAAAGCTCTTTACAAGTAAAGGAAACATAATTTCTACAACTGATAAGAATTCCACTCTCGCCACTAAAAAAGCAGAAGGTACTTCCAAATCTTTCATTAATATGTTTTATGTTTGGTTATTTTAAATAACACCTCAAATTTTGGATCTGATTCCAAAAGATAGCTTCCTATTCTAATTGTTTCATCGGCTGCAACAACAACCCTTGTGATATTTCCATGATACTTATTTTGTTTATAAATATTTTCGAATGCTAGAAGAACGTGTAAGCATTATTGGTGGTCACGTGACTGCTGCATCAGACACTTTAACAGCAAAATCAACCCAAAATCCGTCTAGAACTCGCCCACCCATTACCACTCACGTGTTGGATGTTTCGCGGGGCTCTCCAGCTTCAGGCATTGAGGTACTTTTGGAGAAGTGGAAGGGCAGTCAACCTCGTCCGATATTCGGTTACACGGATAGTGAAGGATGGGTTGTTCAAGGGTCTTCGTCGACAGATTCAGACGGTCGTAGTGGTCAACTAATAAACATAGTTGATGACGTGGATCCAGGGATATACAGGATAAGTTTCAACACTGGAAAGTACAATCCAAATGGTTTCTTTCCATCCGTATCTATTGTGTTTGAAATCTTGGAGTCACAGACAAGGCAACATTTTCATGTTCCTCTGTTGCTTTCGCCGTTTTCATTCAGCACTTACCGTGGAAGCTAGAAGAAACATGGTAACAGTTTCTCTATCAATGCCATGAATATCTGAAAGTAGTTTTCATGAATTGAAGTTTGTGCTTGTGTCCATAAAACATGAGAAGGATACCAAGTATAAAAAGATAATCAATGGTGTTTGTTTGATGTATGATATCAGTACTTCTATAAGGAATAATGATCGTGATGTTTTAAAATAAACAAGCAGGATACTCGTGCGTCCACATTGCCACTCGTTTTTTAGGTGGTATGTCGAGTCGGAACCGTCATAATAGTTGTCATAATATAATATGAGAAATGTTAAATAATATAAAAAATTATGTGAGACCCATTTAAAATTTTTTGATGAGTATTATGGATGTGATGTTATTAGGAAATTACCAAAGTTTTTTCATGGTCAGATTTGTAGAAGAGCAAAATTAATGTGAAAGTATACTAAAATTAATAATAAGTGAAATTTAGAAGTGTTTAACAATTATGTCTTTTGCACAAAGCCCACATGCTTACATCAAAATATGTATTTTTTTATAAATTTTTCTTACAAAAATCCTTAATCGGAAATTTTCTCCTATTTTGTTGGATGAGCATTTGACATACTTGTTACAAATGAAAAACAAAATTGAATTATAACTCTTTTTTAATTTGATTTCATTATTATTTTTTTGTTTCTCCTTATTTATCTTATTGTTTATTGACTAACAATATTTCACTTGAAGACTGATTTTAATCTAACTTCACACCTTAATCATACAACAACCATTCCAAGATTGTTATATCAGTAGGTAAACTAAAGTTAAACACAAATTCAACTTATATCGACACTCACCATCTTTGCTAACATGCCTATTGAGTTCTCACTTCTTTGAATTTTGTTCAATATAAGCACCTCATCCTTAAGAAGACCTTTGATGAAGTGATAACAAAGACGGCCTATTGAGTTCTCACTTCTTTGAATTTTGTTCAATATAAGCACCTCATCCTTAAAAAGACCTTTGAGGAAGTGATAACAAAGATCATTGTGCTTTGTTCTCGAATGAAATGATGAATTCTTTGTCCGATATATTGCATTTTAACTATCATTATACAAACACTCTTCTCATGTGCGATACATAACTCTATTAATAATCCTTAAAGCTATATCAACTATTTACTACCTTAAGTGACTACTACATACTTGATATCTGTAGTGAATAAAGCAACAATATATATTTTGTATTTGGGATATCCAACTAACTATTCAAGTATCAACAATACATGTATAGCCGATTGTACTTTGTCAATGATCAACATCACCAATAAAGTCTTTATCAACGTAGCCTTGTATTTTTATTTCTTCTTTACCAAAGTACAAACATTTCTTAGTGGTGTCTTGTAGATACCTCAAAATCCACTTCACTGTTTTTCAATGAGCGTTATCTAAATTCGAGATAAATCTAATGATAACTCACATTGCATGGCCAATGTCTAGTACACATCATTGCATACATCAAACTTTCAATGACTAAAGCATACAAAATCTTAGCCATGAATTATCTTTCTTCCCCTGTTTTATGTGATTGATTCTTAGAAAGGAAAAATTGACTTTCCAAAAGTTTGCTAACCGGTTTGGTATTATACATGTTAAATCTTTGCAAAACATAATTGATGTACTTTGATTGAGATAATTACATAACTCTTTTTTTCGTATCTTTTGTAATTTTCATACCAAGGATCCTTTTTGCAGGATTTAAGTTCTTCATGTCAAACTCGACTGACAACTGCATCTTCAAGTTTATGATCTCGTTCATATTTGAGCATGTTCCCAGCATATCATAGACATAAAATAAAAAAATGATATAATTAGACATATATCTCTCGAAGAAACAATATTGGTCGACATTGCACTTTTTGAAACCTTCCTTGTGCGTGAATCTTTCGAACTTCATATATAATATCTTAGAGCTTGTTTTAGGTCATACAAGTGTTTATTTAGTCTACGCAACATATTCACGTTCCTTTATTTTGAGAATTCTCCAGGTTGGTGCATGTATATCTCCTCAACTAAGCCTGCATTAAGAAATGCAGTCTTCACATCTCATTGTTCAAGATGAAGCTTTTCACTAGCAATAATACTTAACACATACCAGATAATATTATACTTCACAATCAGAGCAAATGTTTCAGTATAATCAACTACTTCCTTTTGTTGAAATCCTTTTACCACTAGTCAAGTTTTGTATTACTTAGATCCACCGTGTTCCTTTTTTCACTCGATACACCCATTTGTTGTGAAATGTCTTCTTTTCCGTAGGTAACTTAACTAGTTCTTATGCCCGTTTGGAAATAAAAGACTTCATTTGGTCTTTCATAGCATATTTCCACTTACTATAGCATTTGTGGTATGATATGCTTCTACATAATATTCAGGCTACCCTCCATCAGTCAACAACATCTAGTCCATATTTCTTCTATTGGGAACATGAGGTTGAGAAGACATTCTTAATATAAAAGTAGGAGTAGGATGTTCCAGTGTGTTCAATAGTTGTTAGTTGTTTTGATTCAATTGATTCCTCTAACTGGGAACTTTAAATAGTTGGATTCCAGAGACATTGTCCAACTCTATATACACATGCTCACTCATTTTTTAGTATTAGTAGTTGTGTTATACATGTCTTTGTACATCATTCTTTCGTTGAAGATGATGTATCTATTGCGAATCATCTTTTTATTTTCACCATCCTAAAGTCGGTAGCCAAACTCATCCTCACCATAACTAATGAAAACGTACTTCTTTCATTTAGGTTCAAGTTTATTTATGCCTTGATCTCAAATGTGCACATATGTTACGTAGTAAAAAACTCTAAGATGTGAGAGTTTTATATCTTTCTGCTCCATACCTCTTATAGGATTTTGTCTTCCAATGTAACCGATGGATTTTAACTAATTAAGTAATCTGACATGTTGAAAGTTTCTAGCCAAAGCTGATTTGGTATGCCTGCTTGCACATCTAAGCTTTTGGCCATGTCAGTCAAAGTTCTATTTATTCGCTTAGCTACATCATTGTGTTGAGGTGTTTCTGGTACCATTCTCTCCATTCCAATTCCATACTCATAACAAAACTTCTTAAACATGTGGTATTTATATTCACCACCATTATCGATTATGAGCTTTTTGATTTTCAATCATATCTCATTTTTCACCTTGGATATCCATCTTTTGAAAGCCTTAAATACTTCATACTAATTTTTTTAGAAAGTATACCCATACTTTTCTAGAATGATCATTAGCTAAAGTCACGAAGTAATGTTTCCTACTAATGGATGAGAAAATTGTCGGACCGTAAACATTAAAGTGATTAAGCCTGATCCTCTTTATCCGGGGTTCTACCACTTATCAGAAACCTGACTCTTTTATGCTTTCCAAATATAGAATTTTTACATATGTCAATTTCTACTTACTGAAGACTTGACAGTTTTCCTTCTGAGAGCATAACTTTTATCCCCTTCTTGCTCATATTGCCTAGTCTCTTATGTCATAGTTTATGACTTTCATTTGTTGCAACTACAATGAAATGGCATGCTTCAACTGCCTTGTAAACAATACCACTATTTTTATTACAAGAAATTCTCATTACACCCTTTAAAATCTTCCAATCATCGCCATGGAAGACTGTTCTGTAGCCACTGTCACTAACCAACTGGCCTATGGATATTAAGTTCTATGGATATTAAGTTCTTGGTCAAGTTAGAAATATGTCTAACATTTTTAAATTCCTATACTTAACCATTCAGCTTAATCTTTACTTCTTTTTTTCCCACAATCTTACAAGATTATTCATTACCTAGGTAAACTTTACCAAAGTTTCTAAAGACATAATTCTTAAAGAACTCTCTATTGAAAGTTTAACATCCAAGACTTTTTCTTACAATCCAATGAACATATCAATGCGTCTTCTCCTCCTGAGGTTGAAATAACACTTGCTTCGTCTTTTGCCTCTTGGTTCTTTAGTGGGAGTTTACATTGATTTTTGTAGTACATTTTTCCTACAATTCTAACACTCGATAGTCTTTGAGTTGTGGGAATGACGATGATTTCTAGATTTTGATCGTTTTTCTTTGATTTACAACGTCTATATCCTCTAGCTGATTTTCCTCCTTTAGATATTATATGTAATACCGAAGATGATGAATATTCACCTTACTCTCTTTGTTGGATCTCGTCACTGAGAACCAGGTCATGAACATCATCAAATTTCAACTTTTGACTTTTCGACGAGTTATTCACAGTTGTAACAATAACACTCCAACTATTTGGTAAGGAAGACAAAAGTGTTACTGTTATTATCTTATAGTCGAATTCAATTCCCATTGAACTCATTTGGATTGTGAAAATATTGAGTTCATTGATATGTTGCACAATTGATGCGCCTTTTTTCATCTGAGGCGTAAACAAATACCTTAACAAGTGAACTTTATTTGAGGCCGACCACTTTTCATACATGTTAGAAAGAGCCTTCATAAGATAAGACTAGCATCGGTCTTTTCCTTTACAATGTTAAAAACTACATTCCGAGATAATGATAATCAAATAATAATAAACTCGAACCTATCAAAAAGGTTCCAATCGCCTTCCTTCATAAAAAATATGTGTTTTTTTAGCGGTTAATGTAAATTTTTCTAATACAAATAATCTTCCATCTGCATTTTCTAAAATCTAAAGTCTGTGTTAAGAGTCAAACATAGATAATATATGGTCTGAACATATATTTATAAGTGAGGGGAATCCTCATCCTACCAATCAGTTGAGTTAAGCCTGACCATATTTCTTAACATCATCGAACCTTTCAATTTTTGCATTTACTTTATCAACGACCATCAAGACCATCTTTGATAACTTTTGCGTATCAACGTACTTTAAAACACTTTTATAAAATACCAGTAATTTCGACCAACTTTTGCATGATTTACAAAAACTATTAATTATGTGAAAAATGTCAAAATTAACGATATCAACCAATTGACTTAGATACCAATTTGTTAGAAAATATTCAAAATTTCTTCATGCACAAATTTACGGAAGAGCAAAATTAATGCATAATGAGACAAAAATTAATAATAAGTAAAATATACAATTATTTAAAAAATCTCTCTTTCATAAAATCTACAACCAAACTACAACAAAATAATATATATATACTTCTTTCTCACAAGGCATGCAAGACTACTTTAGTATAACTTTTCACTATTTTAAGGTTTATTTCCATCATCAAAGTTCCCATATTATTTAACAACAACCTTAATTTAAGGTTATATAATTTTAATATGAAACTAATGAAAGTTGGAATATTGGATAAAGCGTACAAGATTCCGTTTTTCATTGAAACAAGTTTCATGGAATTGGTGAGCTACCATTAGCTAAACCAACAAAGAAAATTAGTTTAGTGCTAAATAAAATTCATATACAACATGTATTAATCACACTTTTGTTAACCATTCTAATAACTCTCATTTTCCCCATAGAGAATGGAAGGAGGGAAAGATGAAAAGAAAAATGAGAAGGGAAAAGATAAGATTGAAGGAAAGATAGAAAAGAAAAAAGATGATATTGAATTCATCATTGCTATTTACAAACTAAACTTGCATTGTCAAGAATGTGGGAATAAAATCAAGAAGCATCTCTTAACTACTCAAGGTATATGAAATTATAATTCTTATTAACCATTTTCACATCTTTTAATATGTTTTTTTAATCATGATTTTATCATTTAGATGATTTTTTTTAGTTTTTCTTCCGTATAAATAAAAAATCATTTGCACGCAAATACAATATTTTTAGTGTTAAATTCAAACTCTGAACCCGGTGCGATGTTTTTTGTATTTTTTTTAATTTTATTATGAGTTTTTTTTAATTCACTAAATAATTAATGTATTTTAATTATATATTAAATATATTAATTATCCATATATATATATATATATATATATATATATATATATATATATATATATATATATATATATATATATATATATATATATATATATATATATATATATATATATATATATATATATATATATATATATATATATATATATATATATATATATATATATATATTTGTTTTAAATATGTGTTAAAGTAAATTTTCTTTTATTTTGTAGGGGTACAAAGTGTGGAAATGGATATTGAAAAAGGAGAGATCAAGGCCAAAGGGAAATTGGACCCTTTGAAAGTGTTGAAGATTATAGAGAAGAAGAGTAATAAAAAAGTTGAATTAATATCACCAAAAGTGAAGCCTAAAGAGATTACTATTAGTAAGCCAAAGGAAATTAAGGATGTAAGTATATATTTTCTTTGTTAATTAGTATAAATTAAATATGAAGCATTCCATAGTAATTATATTTTCGTATTGAAATTTTATGAAAAATAGGTCAAATCTCAAAACATCTCTACATTAGGATTTATATAATGATATATTTCATATTAATATTTTTAAATGAATAATATGATCTATCTTTAAATATATTAACAAGTTAAAAAATCAATAAAACTAAAATTCATTTGGGTATAATTCAATTCTATTTTATATACATTTAAATGAGGTTAATCATATGCATTACAATAATTTTTTTTATTTGAAGCCAATTGTTCGAACTATATCTGTGAAAGTTCACATGCATTGTGACAAATGTGAGGCTGATCTAAAGCATAGATTAATCAAACACAAAGGTAACTTCAATATTATTTATAAATTATATCATATTGAAATCTTATCACATGTTAATTGATTTGACCAAATATATACACAGGCATTTTCAATGTTAAAACCGATATGAAAGCTCAAAATCTAACTGTTGAAGGGACCATTGAAGTGGAGAAATTGTTATCATTTTTGAAAAAAATAATGCATAAAAATGCACAAGTTATTTCCATAAAAGAAGATAAAAAGGAAGAGAAGAAAGATAAGGGCAAAGAAGAAAAAAAAGAAGAGAAAAAGGAGGAAAAGAAAGACAAGGGCAAGGCTAGTGGTGAAACAAGCAAAGTAATAGAAATTCATCATCATGGGAATACAAGAGATGATAATAAAATAAATGACAATATTAATGTTCCTTATATTATTCACTATGTTTATGCACCACAACTTTTTAGTGATGAGAATCCTAATTCTTGTTCTATTTCTTAATTATAGACTTTAATTAAAACAATACTTATGTGCTTTGTAATCTTTTTAGTTTAATATTTTAGATGTGTGAACATAAAGACATACGGTAGAATTTGGTGATATTATATGATATAAGTATTATTAAATATGAAAAGTACTAATATTCTTATACTCTATTCAGGTCACTTTTTATTTTGAATTTTAGAAATTTTAAAAATTAATAATTGTGGTCCCTTAAGGTTTGATTTTGGTCTTATAGATAATAATCATTATTTTTTAATTTCTAAAAAACTATTACGCTAGCCAATTTGATCATTATAGACAATGTTGAAGTTCATCTTGTCTACACTCTTTTGAGCAAGATTCAGATCAATTGAAAAAAATGAAAAATATTAATAACACTCTCTTTTCAACACTCTCTCAAAACACTCACTCTCTCATTGGTTGAAATATGTGTGGGTCATACCACTTTATGTGGAGCCTATTTACAAAGTGAGGGACCCACACATGTTTCAACCAATAAAAAATTGAGTGTTTGAGAGAGTATTGCTAGCACTCCTCTTGGGAAAATTACTTTTTGTCCTGGATGTTTGCCATCAAGGAGTGCAACAAAGGAACATCATTTTGTTACGCTTCCATGATTACTAACATCCTAAACTACTTCAACATAGGGGTGTCCAATCTCCTGTTTAAATCTCCTTGTCAGGCTCAAGAGTTCTCCCAACGCACTTTAACCAACATGAGATACTTTTGGGATGAAAAACGCCAGGTATATTATTTTCATATGGGAAAGCATGGTAAGAAGATTTACAACTTTGATGATCATGCTGAGTTTGCTGATACAGCCGCTGAGCCACATGTGATTGGTGATCAATCTATTGATGCTTCTCATGGTGTTTATCAAAATGATGAATTTATGCAAGATGTTGATCATGAGGATGATCAAGGTAACATATTTGGTGGTGAATATGGAGATGAATATTCCATTATGGCTATGCTTCAAAATATGCAGGTTAGGCAAGATGAGCACAATGAGTAGGAGTGTCGGAGGAAAGATGTTTTTGAAGAAGCTCAAGTGGAACGAGTTCATCTCATGCAAGAGAACATGATAACACAAGATGTCAACTTTGATGCCTTTGCCTCATATGTGACTGAAAGGCTTATCTCTATGCAAAGTGAGGTGGATGTTAATCATGTTGCCACAATTTCCAGGATAAATCACATGATTGTTTCTCAAAATGAGAATCGCCGCCACTATGCTCAATTCTACCAAGAGATGTGTGATTTCTTGAATTGTTAGTTTGGAAATGATGGACAAGGTTGGAACCGTGGAGTGAGGCCAATACCTAGAGATCGTGGAGGACGCTGAAATGTTAAGTCTTTGTGTCATTTATGTCAAACATCGTGTGGAACTTTTCTTTCATGCATTTTATAGTTTACATCATCATGCATTTTATGTTTTTTCTTTTGGTTTGTTTTTGCTTTACGCTTATGTCTTGACAATGTTCCTACTATTTTAATGTGAGACAATGGTTTTACTATATGTATTACCTTTGATGACAATATCGTAATGTTGTGATTCTATTTATGTTGTGTTAATTTCTATTGTGTATCTTCATGTATACATCGTATATATGAGCGCACACTCTTTTCTTTGCAAACGCCTCTGTATGGTATATTATATCTATGTGATCATGCTAATGACTTGTTTTGTCTCTTTTTGATGTTGTCAAAGAGGGAGAAGCATATGCATCTACGGAGCTATGATGCATACACTCAAGGGGAGCTTTCATAAAGACACGAAACACATCATTTGAAGCAAACCCCAAGAGCTTGACATAATAGAATATATGGCTTCCTGATGGAGATAGGTTTCACAAAATGCGTCTCAAAACATGGATTATACGTCAATAATACAAGCAGGCTCAGGCGAGCTATTATATATTTGTATGTGAATGACTTGCTGATTATAGGTGCAGGTGAAACAGAAATAAAAAGGGTCAAGTTCAAAACTGATGCTGGAATTAGAATTGTCCTACCTAGATAACTTGTCATATTTCTTTGGGATAAAGTTTAAATGCACAAATGAATGAGTATTCTTGCACAAGAAGAAGTATGCTCAAGACATCTTGAAAATGTTTAAGATGAGAAACTGTAATGCAGGTATCATACCATAGGAGAGTAGCGCAAAATTGAGAAAAAAAAGGATACAAATAATGAGTTTGTAAGTGAAACAATGTACAAGAAAATCATTGGATCCTTAAGGTATCTATGCAACATCAGGCTAGATATTTGTCAAAGTGTCTGACTGTTGAGTAGATTAATGGAGAAACCACAAGAATGCCATCCCACTGCAGTCAAGAGAGTGTTGAGATACATAAAAAATATAATTGATCATGGTGTGATGATGCCAAGGTAAAAGAATATCACCATAGATGCGGAAGTACATGGCTACACCGACTTAAACTTCAGTGGAGATTAAGACGAGAATAAAAGTATTGCATGCTACATATTCATGATAGGAGGTGCTCAAATCTCTTAGAGATTAAGAAAACAAAACATTATGACTTTGCCATCTTGTGAAGTTGCTGCTCGAAGAGAGATGCAACATGTTAAGCAGCATGGATAGAGATGCTGCTCGAAGAGCTCAAGATCATGAAACCTAAGAAAATGAAGTAGTTTGTCGATAATAAGTCAACTATCGGCTTGGAAAATCATCATGTGTGTCATGGTCGTAGTAATAACATAGAGAGAATGTACCCTTTTCTTAGGGATAAATAAACAAAGGAAAACTTGAACTTTAGCATTGCAAGTCAGAATGACAACTAACTGATATACTCACCCAACCCCTGAAGAAAGTCAGGTTTAATGAGTTGAAGAGAAGCATTGGGATGAGAAGCCCTGAAAACATAAATTAGTTGGTGTGTTAGAAGTTAATAATCCATTGTTTAGTAGGAAAAATGTATTTGACATGGTTGTATTCGACAGAGTCGAATATAGCATGTAAGTGTTGAAGTTTGTAAGCAAGTATTCGATAGAGTCGAATACTGTCGTTTATAAATTGTATGTCTTGGTTGCCTATATATACATGTAACAATGTAAATCTATACATTGCAACTTTCACTTAATAAAATTACCTTTTTCACAATATAGTTTATGTCTTCTTCTTCATTATTTTTGAAAATCCTAATTATTCCGACACCTATAACTCTACAAACTTGTTCTATGCATCATGCAATCAGAAAACTTTTTGAATAATTTTAAAAAAATTATAAATAAAAACATCTTACAAGTTTCCAAATTCATTATTTTGAACCGAAAAACTTCCTTCAAATATTCTAGTTCAAAATTAAGAAATGTACACTAGCATGATATTTAATATAAATCAATTTAAAATACATATATTAGGAGTAGGTGCTTTTTGAGGTTTAAGACCTACCCTGATTTTGGTGAGTCACGATGTTGAACTCATTTAAACTTTTTGTAATAAAAAACTATATACATATACTTGATATTTTAAATATATCAATAAATAAATAAATACGTTAATTGTAGGGTAGTGGAATAATTGTAGTGACATGGGGTAAATTTGTCATAACTACCAACGTGTTTTCAGTAGATGGAGTAAAGGTTACGTTTTCTCCATTTTAAAATCATATTACAAAATTCATTAGTGAAAGTGGTTTAGTTAGTTGAAATATTACTTAAATTCAATAAACTACATTCCAATTATCAATTAATTAAGTCGTCAAAATTATTAGTTAATTTACGACTTTTGGAGTGTGGAATGGATTAAATAGTTTATCTGTCGTTTTGAAATTTCAACATGGAAATGTAAACGTCTTCATGAGAAATTAAGAATAGAAAAATTGGGTTACGCGGATACTTCTTTTATTCTCACTTATTTTTCTTCTTAAATGTTTTTCTAGTTTGGATAGATAAAAGAGAAAACGTGGCGTGTTACTACTAGTAGACTAGTAGTTGTTTTTTCTTCTCCTCTATATAGAATAGAGTGAGATATTAGAAAATTATAGAACAATTAAAAGTTTAGTGAATTCAAATATTTTGATTGTTATTTTATGAATAGAGTAATAAAACGTTTTATTTTAAATTTTTGTTGAAATACATTTTATTAAATCCCAAAAACTCTAAGACCATTTTTCAAAACAATATTAATTTTTTTTAATTATGTTATTTTATTAATATTGTTAAATATGTAATTTTTTGGGTTAAGCATGCTGGTAAGATGCAAGATTCGACATAGTCCAGATCGAATGTATTCAGTAAAGTAGTAGTCGAATATAATTTGTAATAGTTGAATTTGCATGTTGATTTTACAGGATCAAAAATAGATCAGCAGTTAGTCACGCGTCGCGAGCTCTTTCGTTCACCAGTATTGGAGAAGAGGAGGGGGTGTATCTGCAAGATAATCTGATGCTAAAGTGAGAAACGGATTAAGAGATATCAAGTACAGAAAGAAGGTGTAAAATTATGAATATCCGACCCTCTAGTGAAAAAGGGTATTTATAGTGTGCCCCCAGCGTTGGGCTAACAGTTACATTGCATTGGGCTAGATTGCTAGGCCCAACACAAGTAACTGCCAGAATCTACGCGGTGTAGGGAAGACCAGCACATGGTCTTCACCCTGGTCCAACTGCTCCGTGATCCCCTGTCGTCGAGTGATGGGTCGTCTTGTAAGCCAAAGCACGCTGTGTAGCTCCTCGACCCACCTCTTCTTGGCGTCTCCCAGTCTTCGTTTGAGGCCGTGCAAAATCACTCTGTTCGCGGCTTCGGCCTACCCGTTCGTTTGCGGGTGCTCGACCAATGTGAAGTGTTGCTTCGTGCCCATCTTGGTAACGAAGTCCTAGAAATTCTTGTCGGTGAATTGTGTCCCGTTGTCGGTGACGATTGCTTGGGGTACGCCCAACCAGACAAGTATATTCCTTTTGTAGAAACAAAGTATGTTGTGGACTGTGATTTTAGCTAAGACTTCGGCCTCTATCCACTTAGTGAAGTAGTCA